GGATTTATGCACCGGGCCTCTAATGTGTGTGTGTATGTGTGTGTGTGTGTGTGTGTGTGTGTATACACACACACACACACACACACACACACTGAGTGGCCAGATTATTATGCGTTCAGAGACCATCATAATCTGGCCATTCAGTGTATATTTGTATTCATTTCAGAGAGGAAGGGAGAGAGACAGAAACATCCATGATGAGAAAGAATCATCAATCGGCTGCCTCCTGCATGTCCCATATTGGGGATCGAGCCCGCCACCGGGCATGTGCCCTGACCCCTCCCATTTCATAGGCTGACGCTCAACCCCTGAGCCTCCGAAGGTGTAGGCTTGCCGGCTTGATGGGGAAAGGAACGAGCAGCGGGACACTGTGCAGGGACTGGTGCACGGGACCCCCCCACAGGCCCTGGACACACAAACAGGTCAACGCCTGCGTTTCCCAGGACACCGGCATGGCTGGGGAGCAGCGGGCTGTGTTTTGTCCCCTAGTGAATGGGGGTCTGGGGCACTTCACAAGGACACTTCAGATTCCCGGGATGCCGGGTCCCCTTCACGCAGGCTCACCCAGCCTCGGAGCCGCCGGCAGCCCTGACCGCCAGTAAAAGGCAGCGCTGGCTCCTCCGATTTCCTTTCTCCGGCTACAAAACTGCGGACGAAGCAAGTATTTGTTTGAGTTTTGCTATGTAAATAAAGCCTTTTATCAGGGCCAGCCGGAGAAAACAGCCCTCCAGGCAATGGCTGGCCCCACCGGGGCCTCCAAGCGGAAGGCCCCACAGCCGGTGTCTTCAAACCAGGCATGCGCTTTAGACCCGAAAACCCTCCCAAAGCGGAGGGAGGTGCCACCTGGGTACCTGGCGAGGAAAAGGGTGCCCAGGGGGCGTTCTGCAGGGGGTCTTCTGGCTGCCACCCCTGGAGAGGGGGTGCCACTGCGTAGAGGCCCGGGATGCTGCTAAGCACCCTACTATGCACAGCCCCCAGCGAGAACAGGACAGCATGGAGGCAGGTTTAGGAACGGTGTCAGGTGGACGTGAGAGCTGTGTTCAGTGTGGCACCGCAGCGCCTGCCCACAACAGCAGGTGGCCCGGCTGCAGGGGAAGGAGGGCATTCGGAGCCCAGAGCTGGTCTTCAAGGGCCTTCTCTACTCGCCAGCGTGGTGACCCCAATGCACAAACATCCGATGGGCTCCCCAAGGCCTCCCTCCATCTGAAGGTCCGGGCCTGAGGCAGCTGGTGGGGCAGCCCTCCCAGCTCTAAGAGGCACACTCAGTGAGGCTTTCCAACGAGAGCTCATTGGCACAGCGTCCTCACACTGGGCCAGCTCCTCCCAGCCAGATTCTGTCAGATCAGAAAGGCGCTAAGACCCCAGGCTCCAATATATACATCACTTAGTCACAAAGTTGTTGTTTTTTAAGTCCGCACCGGAGGATACGGAGAAGTCCAATGCACAAAATTCGTGCATGGGTACAGTCCCTAGGCTTGGTCAGCGATCAGGGCCAATTGGGGCCAATCGGGGCTTCCGGCTGCCTGCTGGGGCCTCCCTTCCCCAGCTGCAGGCTGTGGGCCAGGGCCTTCCTTCGTTCTGCACCGCCCCCTGGTGGTCAGCACATATCATAGCAAGCTATCTAACTCCTGGTCTCCCAGGGGAACTCCCAAGGAGACACTTTGTATATTAGCCTTTTATATATATAGATTTTATTGATTTCAAAGAGGAAGGCAGAGGGAGAGACAGAAACATCAATCAATGATGAGAGAATCATGGATCAGCTGCCTCCTGCCCGCCCCCTAATGGGGATCAAGTACACAACCCAGACATGTGCCCTACTGGAAATAAAACTGGTGACCTCTTGGTTCATGGGTCAATGCTCAACCACTGAGCCACACTCTCCAGGCTATGTTTATTGATTTGAGAGAAAGAAGAAGGGAGAGAGAGAAACGTAAATCAGATACCTCCTATATTCACCTGACCAGGGATCAAACCCGCAACCTAGGTATGTGCCCTAACCGGGAATCGAACCCACAACCTTTCTCGTGTACGGGATAAGCCACCCACCCAGGGCTAATCACAAAGTTTTATAAGTGCAAAAAGTTGATCAGAAGAATTACTATCTTTTTAAAAATATATATTTCATTGATTTTTTACAGAGAGGAAAGGAGAGAGAGAAACATCAATGAGAGAGAAACATCCATCAGCTGCCTCCTGCATACCTCCTACCGGGGATGATGTGGCCACAACCCAGGTACATGGCCTGGACCGGAATCGAACCTGGGACCCTTCAGTCCACAGGCTGATGTTCTATCCACTGAGCAACACCGGTTAGAAGAATTACAATCTAATGAGAGCTGAAGGTTTTCCAGCAGCAATAGGGAAAGAAGGTTTACCCAAATTCTGCTGTGAAACCAGTGTCCCCAGTGCTCATCACAGAAGTCTGTCTCCACCCTCGTGGTTAGAGCCGGCCCGCTCCCCTTCATCCTTCCCTAACAACCTGGTATTTACCGTAATTACCGGCTGCTGAACTGTGAGCATCCCTGACAGCTAACCCAGGAGAAAGACAGTTATGTAAATACTGTCCACACCGCTCCGTGTGGGCATGTGCGAGCCCGCGTGTGCACACTTACACGTGTGCGTGGACGTTTAGAACACAAGCCCCAGCTGCTCGCAATCCTCTCCCTCCTGAGCAAAGAAACCACGACTCTCCTGGAAGCGCCATAAGAATGAAGCAGCGGTGAGAGGGAGGGACGCGTATGCGTCTCAGATGAGAATCGCAAGCATCTGAGTCTGTGAATGCACAATGCAGAACTACGACCCAGCCACGAAAATGTTCCCCAAAAACCTGAGCTATTGTGGAGCGGACCAGCAGGCCGAATCAGGCGCTACTGCCCCTGCCTCGGCTTCCGGATGGCACCTCTTAGACTCAGAGAACAGGAGGCCACTGCATGGGGCTTTCTAGAACTTGGGGTCCTCTTAGACACGGAGAACAGGCTGCCACTGGGATTTTTTGCCCTCGGGGTGCCCATTGCCAGATGGGTACTAGGTTTAGCAGGGTGGTCAGTTCGCAACTTATATAAATGTCCCATCACTAGGTTGTGTACTGGGAACTAATATATATTAAACATCAACTGTAACTGAAAACCAAAACACTGGTAAGCAAGAAGGGGGGAGGACTTGGGGTGCCTGCGGAAAGGAAGGGGTGCTTTGGGGCCCCCATAATCAGCTATGGTCAAACGAGGACATTGTGAAGTGACTTCCAGCTTTCTCACTCGGTGTCAGGCCCAAAAGCAAGGCTTCGCCGTCAACCTTGTTTTACACCTTGTCCCGTCTGCCGCGAGGACACGGGGCGGGGCACACGTGGCCTTACAGCTGTGAGAACTCAGCCAGCTTGTTCCTGTATTGTTATTCAGTTATTATTCAATTATTGCATTCTCTTCATACAAACAATGGTGACCCTACTTTTGCCCCACCGAAAATGTGGAATCGTGTATCTCTTCTTAAAAAGAATACGTGAGATACTAAAGGTCTGAGTCATTCACCCAGTATCTTTAATGTTACCATCGGAAATGCCTTGTAAAACCTTTAAAGGCGACAGGCAAGCCCTGAGTGGGTGGTTCAGTGGGTTGGGGCATCCTCCCATACACCAAAAGGTTGTGGGTTCGATTCCTGGTCAGGGCACCTAGCTAGGCTGCAGGTTCGATCCCAAGACTGGGTGCATCTGGACCGCACACTGATCAATGTTTCTCCCTCCCCCCTTCCTCTCTCTCTAAAAAAAATTAATTAAAAAAAAACTTGATACCCAAGGATATATATTTTTTAAATAGTTACAGACAAAATGCGCTTTCATACTCAAACATGCGGGGAGCCAGCCCTTGCTGGGCCAGGTCACAGTGCCTGCCCCCCATCTTTCCCAAGGCCACACAGTTTAACACCAAGTCAGCACCCTCTCACCAAGCCGCCCCAAGTCTGCAGTTCTGCAAAGATAACCCGGAGTGAAAGCAAGGAGCAGAGAAGTTGGACGGCTCCCCGCTATCTGAACAACAAAGCAGCCACTTCCCAAATTCATGGCCGAGGGCGGGTCAGCCGCCACCAGGCTTCTCCCCGCACCAGGCCGGCAGGAGAGCCCAGAGGACAGGTCACCTTCACTGGCTCCCCGCAGCCACGCACTTTTGCATTGTAAACGGCACTTTGTCCCTAGGAGCGACCTGCCCAGCCCTTCCCCATCCCCGCCAACCCCCCCTGGAGCCAGGAGAGAGCAGGAAGATGGGCTGTTATGTGCGTGTTGTTGTGGGTTCGCCCCCTTCAAGGTGGGTTTTGTTGTTGGGACAGAGAATTCAGTTGTAAAGCAGCCCCTGTCCCATCTCACACTGGAAAGCCCGTCCCCCTGAGACACGCGAGCAAGCAGCCCTGGAGCTGAACTCCACGTCTGAGAGGCACTGAGAAGTTCCTCTGCTTCCGCGGCTCCCAGAGCGCGGGGAACGGAGGCCGAGGGCAGTAAATATTGATGGGCTGATGGCAATCGAGAAGCTGGGCTGGCGGCAGCTGCTGGGCTGCGTTGCCCAGTGATAAGGGCGCGGGTCCGAGGGGGCAGAACCCAGGGTCCCCAGAGGCGCACGCGGCTGGGGCGGCTCCGTCCACCCCCGGGCACGTGGGAGCGTCTCCCCCCGGCCTCGGGGCGGCCCGCAGGTGCAGGCCGCCGCCGGCCAGCCCGCGAGTGGCCGGGGACCCTGTCCGGTCCTTCCCAGAGGGGGAGGGGAGGGACCCGGAACAGGAGCCATTTAAACTCCGCGGCGCCGGGAGCCAGCCGGGCTGGAAGCCGCCCAGGAGCGGCGGGGGTGGCGCCCGGTCGGACCGCACACCGATCCGTGGCCCCGAGCCCCCCTCCCCGCGGGCGATCCGACCCGACGCGCGTCTCGGGGCCGGGGGCGCGAACGCTCCGCTCCCTCCGGCGCCCCCACCCGCAGAGCCCCCGCCCGCCGGGGGCTGTCACCGCGGGGCCCGCGGCCGCCTACCTTCGTGATGACCAGCGGCTCGCCGTGCTCGCGGCCGCCCTTGAGGGTGAAGCCCCACGGGGCGCCGCCGTTCAGCTGCACCTCCACCAGCCGCCCGCCGTCCGCCGTGCGCCCCTCGGCCTCGGCCGGCCGCTCGGGCCGCGCGCGGGGCTCGGCGCCGTCCATGGCGCGGGGCGCGCAGGCAGCCAGGCCCCTGAGCCCCCGGGCCCGCGCCCATGCACCCCGGGGTCCGGCCGCCGAGGCTGGAGCTGCGGGCGCCCTCCGCGCCGCCGGCCAACTTGCGCTGCAACTGGAGGAAAGTGCCGGCCGCGGGGGCAGCGCGGAGGGCGGGCCGGGGGCGGGCCGGGGGCGGGGCGCGGGGATCCGGGCGCGGGGAGCGGGGCCACGCTTCGGCCCGGGATGGCCGGGCTCTGCGGGCGCCGGAGGCCGTCGGGGATCGGGGCGTCAGCCCGCCTCCGGGGAGACCGGGGCGAGGCAGGTGAGACGGCGGAAGCTCCCGCGCGGGGCGTACCGATCGGCGGCCGGAGACCTCGGCGTCTCCATCTTGGGGCGCGCGGCCTGCCCCTTTGTTGGCACGGACCGCGGGCGGGGACCTGGGCGGCGCAGGTGAGGCCGGAAGCGGCCGGCGCTGTGGGTCCCGGGAGCGCCCCGCCCGCGCCCGCGCCGACCAGGGAGTTGGGGAGGGGCGCCCCCTGCAGCCAGGGTCCCAGCGCCGGGCCTGTCCCTGGAGGGACTGCTCACCCTCCCGCACAGCCCAGGTGAGGAATGGCACCTTTATATATAATTGATTTCAGAGAGCATCAATGATGACAGCGAATCATTGATCAGCTGCCTTCGGCTTGTCCCCACTGGGGATCAAGCCCGCAACCCCGGGCATGTGCCCTTGACTGGAATCGAATCTGGAACCCTTCCGTCCGCTGGCCGAGCTCTATCCACTGAGCCAAACCAGCTAGGGCGGGAATGGCAGCTTTTATTTTTATTTTTTTAATATATTTTATTGATTGTTTTAGAGAGAGGGATAGAGAGTTAGAAACATCAATGAGAGAGAATCATCGATCAGCTGCCTCTTGCACACCTCCCACTGAGATGTGCCCGCAACCAAGGTACATGCCCTTGACCGGAATCGAACCTGGGACCCCTCAGTCTGCTGGCTGATGCTCTATCCACTGAACCAAACCGGTTTCGGCGGGAATGGCAACTTTTAAAAAACGCGCGCGCGCGCGCACACACACACACACCCAAAAAAAAACATTTTTATTGATTTCAGAGAGGAAAGGAGAGGTAGAGAAACAATGATGAGAGAGAATCATGGATTAGCTGCTTCCTGCACATCCCCTCCCCCCCCCCCGCCCCCCCACTGGGGATGGAGGTCTGGGCATGTGCCCTGACCAGAATGCAACTGGGACCTCCTGGTTCTTAGGTCAGCGCTCAGCCACTGAGGCGCCCGCCAGGCAGGAATGGCTTCTGTGGGCTCTTCCCACGGCCTCATCCCAGAAGAGTTTCCGCTTCAAACCCTGCTCACTGTCAGGGGTTTCCGTCGCTACGACTTAGGGTCCCAGGGCCGCCTCTCCTACAGGGGCAGTGCGTGCTGGCTGGCATCGCTGTGTGTTTATGACATGAACAGCTGTGCCACCTCTTCCTGCCTCTTTGTCCACAGAAGTCCGGATAAAGAAATCGCAGCCTTTGGGTATCTGCATGCTTCGCACAAAACAATTATTTTCTCGCCGTTTGCAGTTCGGGAGCCGGACGCTGCTGGACGCCTGTTTCCTCAGGCAGCCCCATCCGTCCGGCTGTGAGCGGGCGATGGCGCTGGCACCGGCGGCGAGGACAAGACGGGACAGACTCCGAGGCTCCAACCCTGGTCTCCTCGGCAGTCAGGGTTCCATGGCAGGTCTTGCACATCCACGCGACTGGAATGAGTGCGGCCCCCCGGCACCTGCTGGGCAGTGCTCCCCGGGAATGCCCTCCAGCTGCGGGGTCCTCAGTGCCTCTAGTTAGAGCAGTGGCTCTCAACCTGCCTAACGCCACGACCCTCTAATCCAGCTCCTCATGTTATGCTGACATTACTTTCGTTGCTACTTCATAACTGCAATTTTGCTACTGTTATGAATCATAATGTGAATATCTGTGTTTTCCGATGGTCTTGGGCTGTACAGCAGCGGTTCTCGGCCTGTGGGTCCTGACCCCTTTGGGAGTCAAACGGCCCTTTCACAGGGGTCACCTGGAGCATCGGAAAACACACTGTGAGCTCCCTTGGTCACCAAGCAGCCGCCAACAGGAAGGAGTTGAGACTCGGTGGGAAGCTCTGCCTGCAAACCAGGCTACTCCCGGCCTGTGAGTTCCCTCCTTCCGACGTCAGGGTGCGGCGCTGTTCAGAGTGTGGCACGTGAAGGGACTAAAGAAATGGGCGTTAAAACATATTCTTAAAAAAAAAATAGCCATAACCAGTTTGGCTCAGTGGATAGAGCGTCGGCCTTCAGACTGAAGGGTCCCAGGTTCGATTCTGGTCAAGGGCATGTGCCTTGGTTGCAGGCACATCCCCAGTAGGGGGCATGCAGGAGGCAGCTGATCGATGGTTCTACTCTCTATCCCTCTCCCTTCCTCTCTGTAAAAACATCAATAAAATATATATTTAAAAAAAAAAACATATTCTCAATATAAATTTTTACCAATAGTAAATGAATTAATCAATAAAAGGCAAATTGGCCTGACCGGTGTGGCTCAGTGGTTGAGCATCTACCTGTGAACCAGGTCATGGTTTGATTCCTGGTTAGGGCACAGGCCCGGGTTGCAGGCTCTATCCCCAATAGGGGGCATGCAGGAGGCAGCTGATCCATGATTCCCTCTCATCATTGATGTTTCTCTTCCTCTCCCCTCCTCTCTGAAATCAATCTATATATATATATATATATATATATATATATATATATACACAAAAGGCAAATTGAACCAACTTTCAGAGAACCATCAATAGCTCATCACAGTATAACACAACACCTACCTTTTCAAATCAGGAGCGTTTAAGAGGGGTACTTAGCTGCAGCCACTATTTTTAAAGTTTTATATTCCAAAACACAGTGTTAGAAAGATGTTGGCTGTTCGGCAGTTGGGCCGAAAGCAACCAAGGAGCTGGGCTGCTCGGGGCACCTCCAGCTGAGGACACAAGCCAGCGGCCACCAGAGACAACTAGCGCGCCAATCGGTGCGGAAGGGCGTCCGAGTGACCAGGGCAGAGGGGAGAGGGTCAGACACTGGAGGTGGCCCTGCCGCTGGCTTCCCTCCCCCAGTGTTTCCAGCGCCTCTGGAAGGATAATGGGAACTCAGAGGACCTGGGCAGCAGTGGGGGGGGGCCTCAGGTGGAAATCATGGCCCAGGGGCCCTCTTGGTGGGGAGTTGGGCAGCCTCAGGGCTGGAAGGCAGAAATCTGGCCCAACCTGGTTCGTTTTGAATCTCTGAGCCTCAACGTCCCCTCCCCGGGGTGTGTGTGTGTGTATGTGTGTGTCTGTGTGTGTACGTGTGTCTGTGTGTGTGTGTCTGCGTGTCTGTGTGTGTGTCTGCGTGTCTGTGTGTGTCTATGTGTGTACGTGTGTCTGTGTGTGTGCACGCACACACGGTGGCAGTGGGGGATCAAAAACAAGTGGCTTGCCTCACCGGTGTGGCTCAGTGGTTAATTGTTGACTATGAACCTGGAGGTCACGGTTCGATTCCCGGCCAGGGCACAGGCCCAGGTTGTGGGCTTGATCCCCAGTGTGGGGCGTGCAGACGCAGCCGGTCCATGGTTCTCTTTCATCATGGTTGTTTCTCTCTCTCCCCCTCCCTTCCTCTCTGACATCAATAAAAATATGTTTCAAAACCAGACAAGTGGCTTTCCGGCTGAAGAAGGGAGTTAAGTGCGTGATGAGTGGCGACTGGAGGCCGCGGGCAGGTGAGGGGACTCAGCCCTGAGTGCCTCTGGGCGCGTGGCAATCCGCGACACTGTTGTTGCCTGGGGCTGGCTGTCATCACACATCACCGTCACCTGCTCAAAACAGGCCACTTGTGTCCGGGAGGCCAGGAGGCCAGAAGTGGGAACGCAAGGTCCACAGGGCGGCCCTCAGGGCGGTGGGGGAGCCTGTGCCCTGCCCCTCCGTGTCTGGTGGCCAGCATTCTTGGGCTGGTGGCCGCACCCCTCCGATCTCTGCCCCTGTCCTCACAGCCTCTCCTCTGCCCCCCCCCCCGCCTTCCTCGGCCTGGAGGACACTGGGGGGACACTGCAGGGCCACCTGCAGGAACCAGGTCAGCGTTGCCGAAGGAGGAGCGCATGTGCTGAGAGATCATGAATGTATTGGGTCCCCTGGAGACCACGTGGGCTGAGCCCGAAATGGCGCCAGCCCCCAGCCATGGGCAGTCCAAGGGTTTAAAGGCCTGGGGGGGGGGGGTCAGCGGGAAGCTCTCCGGGAGGGGCGGATCCTGGGAAAGTCCGGAGGGGAGAGATAATGGTCTTAGCCAGTGGAATGCGTCTCAGCGAAAGGGAATGTCAGGTGTGAAGTGGCCTAAAGGTCAGTTCCCAGGGGAGGGGGTGATCCGATTATGTGATCAGACCTCAGTCTCTCCACCTCAGCTCGGGAACTGGATCCCACGTGCAAAGACCTTGCAGCCACACACCACACGGGAGCGGTCCCGGGTCCCGAGGTGAGGCCCTGCTCTCTCTGGGGAACACGGCCAGGGCTCCGCGGATCCGGCTGGGGCCACTGGAAGGAGCTCGCTGCTAGTCTGGAGGGGCCGTGGCTAAAGCCCCCAGCGGTCACCCCACCCCCGTGCCCACTGCCACTCTTAAGGAGCCGCAGCACTGGCTGTCTGCTGGGGGTGGGGGTGCGTGGGGAAGGCTCATGCCGCTCTCAAGCCCAGTGAGGACTGCTCCACTCCCATAAAGATGACAGAGAGAGAGAGAGAGAGAGAGAGAGAGAGAGAGAGAGGACAACTTACTGCTCAAGTTATCAGGCCACATCCATTGTGATCCAAGCAAGGATTTTAAATGGCAGCGACTTCTTTCCCAGAGACAGAATGTTTTCCCAGGAAGAGCTAGTGGGGGTGCGGGTGGCTGTTGGCATCTGTTGTTTGCCCAGAGCACCAGGCGGTCACGGTTCCATTCCAGGTGCGGGCACAGGCTGGGCTGCAGGCTCCGTGCCCAGCGGGGGGCGTGCAGGAGGCAGCAGGTCCATGACTCTCTCTCCCTATCCCTTCCTCTCTCTCTAAAATCAACTTTTTAAAAAATCAACCAATAAGTGCATACATAAATGGAACAACAAATCGACTTTCTCTCT